GTGCGAGATTTTCGGAATCGGTTTAAAGCTCTTTTGCTTTATTGAATTGCTGTTTTGCATGAGTCATTCCACCAGGGAAAGTGTTTTTTTATTGGGTTAATTTTGTATTTAACGATACACTCCTCTGCGGACGAAACTATGCAATGGTTTAGTTGTTTTATGTCTTCGTCTGGTATTTTGATATTTGAGTACATCTGTCCATCCTTTTACAGTTAGTTTGAAGAGTTCCCAATTAGCATCTGAGATTTTCTATCTCGTTTTTGTATATTCCGATTTGACTGCATTGTGAGTAATGATACTTGGAAATTGATTGCTATTAGTACCGGGTAATGGGTGTTTTTTGGGATCACATAAACTTAAGTCTATTGATAAAAAGCTTCCTGACTGAATATGAAAGTATGTAGGTACTATTTCCTGTATTTAATAAGTTAATATCAGTATTGTTAATGATATTTTCGATTATTTTACCTCTACCATATATATATATATATATATATATATATATATATATATATATATATATATATATATATATATATTAGGATCCCCACATAGTGTTGTGTGCATTAAAATCTCCAACCCTAATAAATGGGCCAGAAATTTGAGATATTAGGTTTTCTAATTCAGTGCTTGTCAACGTATAATTAGGAGGAATATATTTAACTACTTATTGTGACTTGCTCTGGACACCATGCTGTTATAGCAATAGCTTCTAATGCAGTGTTTAGGTGAAGTCTACGGTGAAAAATTTCAGTTGATACGAAAATTGATGTTCCTCCGCTAACGCGTCGGTCTGTCGTTCTGATATGGTGATAACTAACACAGTTTTTTAGATGAGCATTGCTTATAAAAATAATCGAAACAAGTGCGAACGACACTCGGTTGGTTGTTGGAGAGCTGGGTTGTAGATAAGTTGAAATATGGGGGTTGGATTGAAGATCTACTAAGATGAAAACAAAGGGATACTTACATAAATCTCCTGGGCAATTGATATAACAAACAAATCAAAAATAGACTGGGAACACCTCAAGGAATTTAATATAGGGCGCCACTTGAAGGATCCTAGTTTACTGAAGGAAAGAAAAAATTCTTCTTCCCTAATAGGTAAAATACATAAAAAGGGTTAGGAGATTTTTCTAAATAAAAATAAAAAAAATAGGTTAGAGAAACAAATCTAACGTTTATTATTGACTCAAACAGTTTTTAAAAATACAGCTTATACAAAAGGCATACTATATAAAAATAGTCGTCAAATACAAATAAAGAAACTTACATGTTATCTGTTTACAAAGAGGTTACAAAAGCTTCGAAATGGTTCCTAGTAAATAATGTGGCCAAATTAGATTAAAATTTTATGGATATCCTTTGGTGAAAAATAAAATTTAATCTTTACTATAAAATCAAAATATCTTTTACAACAGATTCAAAATCAAACTGTCATACGTCAAAACAAACATTTTTAAGACAGGATAAAATTATGACCGATGACAGTTTAAACCACGCCCTAACATAATATTTATTTTAATTACAAATTAAAAAAAAAATTTATAAAAGAAAGCAAATTTTGTCTTTTTAAAAGAAAATGTCTATTTTGACTTTAAAAATTAATAACGTAAATGTTACCTCAGTTCACACATGTTAACTTAAACTTTTGAACAACTGGCTAATAGGTATCTGTGGGATATATAACTGAACATCATCAACGGAAAACTTTCTTGGAGGCTGAAACTGGCACACTGGTACATTCAAATCAAAACTGCTCCAATATCATTCTACGTGAGGTGAAGAGGCATCTTGGAAAGGAACTGGATTTCTCAAAAAAAACGAAAAGAAAGCAGGAACTAAACTTGTTCACTTCTCAAACATTATAAATCTTCAGCAAAATCAAAACAGTGGTTAGTGGACACTCTTTCAAATATTAATAGAGTGAAAATTCCACCATTTTTGGCGAATTAATGCAGGGTTACCACATCACAATTAAACGACCTTTCCCTTCGAGCAATTCTTCATCACTCCTCTCTTGACCTCGATCTCAACCTGCCGGATAGATACCGCCTCTCTTTTCCCCGCACAAGCATTGCTATCTTGTCAAATCAACAAATTCTTTACTCAAACTCGTCCAAACTTCCGCCGTTATTACGCTTTAGAAAAAAGAATACCAGGCTTGCAATATTTTTCTGGGAACGTTGAAGTTAAAAAGCCATAAATTGTTTTCCTTAGCAAATACGTCTTTATTTATTGAAGAATTATTGCGTATTTAAAAATCTCTACAGACAACACATTTCTAGCATACCAGGGGCGTGCTATGACAAATATAGAATCGAATTTATATTATTATTTAGACATTAAATATAAAACGCTACAGTTTCTGTAAAGTTTGTTCCTTGTAAACAAATAAAGTCAGGGTTTGTTTCGGAAATAATTTGTATGCGTGCCAGGCGAGGAGAGAATCCATCGCAGTTTCATTGAATAATTATGAATTTGTTAACGAGAGGATTTTTGAGATGTCTGTGAGTTTTGAGATGTGTCAGAGATGTACTCATCATCAGTTGTTTCGTGTGAGAAGTAATGATTGAAATACAACAAAGTTGAGGCAGTATAAGTTTGCTTTTTCTTATATTTCGGAATTACTTTTATACGATATTAGGTTCCGCGGTTGTGTGTTTGATGTGTGTGTGTGATAACTTGATTATTGTCCCACGGAAACAAATAGAACAAAATCCAATAAAAACTGTTTATTATATAGTAGGTAATAATAGGTTTATTAATTGTTTACTTAATAATAATAACGAGTTTACTTGTAGAATACAGACAAATGGCCATGAAAGGAATTTGCCAGTAAGTCAAGAGAATGATACAATAGCTTGAGCAATGAATTTTAACTCATTACAAAATTAATCTAAAAAATAAATAAGATAGATAACATAAAAAATAAGTTATTTTCAGACGAACCAGTCAACAAAACGAAAAATGACCTTACTATTAAAGCAAATACATTGATTACATTAAGATAAAATGGATAAGGAAACTGAGTATTTTGGATATTGTCTTTATTCTTTTTTAGTGACAATCTTTTTTTAGATTTACCTCAACTCAATGTAGACCACGTAAATCAGTTAGATACTTGTGGATCCACAGTAGAATGTGTTTACCAAGATGACGGTACTGACCCAAATAGTACATCAGATTCCAACAGTACTTCACCAGCTGATTCCCCAGATTCCGACTTTTCGTCGGACGATTCTGTCAAGGATCCAAACTATAATAACTCATCTTTGTCCTCTGATTCAGAAAGGGAAATTCGAGGAACAAATACAGACAGAATGAATGTTAAATATATTGTTCAGCTAGATGAAACAGCGCCTCAAGAACATAAGAAGAAATCGAGAAAAAGGAAAGCCCAACCTTGTCAATGCACAAAAAGCTGAAAGAAACGCCTCCGAAACTCTGGACAATCCAGACAAAAGAGCCGTGTGACAGCAAAATGCAGGCAAAAATGTAACATAAATTCACAAAAGAGAGATTCGCGTTTTTTTTCCAGTTATACTGGGATTTGGGAAACATATCCAAGCAGCGAAACTACATAATGGCATTAATGGAACAGGTTAATGTAGCAAAGAGTGGTGGACGAACTGATACCAATGTTTTTTACTTTGGTAAACAAGATACAAAAGTAAGAGTGTGCAATTTTTTTTACTTCAACTTTAGGTATTACCAGTAGGTGTATTCGCACTATAATTTCTAAAAAACAAGAAGGTTTATTAGGAGATGATCTTAAAGGAAAACAGGTACAAAAACAAAAAGTAGACACATTTATCAGAAGAAATAAAAACAGAATATAAGAAAACACATTTTCTCAATTCCTACTATAGAAAGTCACTACATTCGAGCAAGTAGAGGCATTCAAAAATGAAATAAGCCTATTGCTAAATATTCAATGTACAGAAAAATTTATGAATTTAATATGCATTTTTTGTTCCCAAAAAAGATCAATGCCATATTTGTGTATCCTTTCAAAACTGCAACAACAAAGAAAGAAAAAAATACAAGAGAGCCATGTGAAAAATATAGAAGAAAAAACCCTAAGCAAATGGTTAAGTCTCATCCTTTTATACCAACAAAATTTACTCTTTTAAAGACATTGAATTGATTGAGTCTATCAACTAACATTACATTGATAAGTAGCTCCTATCTTGTTTTTATCCTAGTAGAGGTTTTTTAACACTGATAATCATTTGTAAGATTATTTTTTTCTTATTATTAAGATAAATATTTTTGTGTTCATATATATTATATCTTAAATGCAAATAAAAACATGATTAAAAAATAACAACGTTTATTTTATAAATTCTTTGTGTCACTATGTATGAACATCTTTGCCAAAAACACTATAAAACTTAAATTTAATGCTGGAATATGTATATCACATTCTCGAAATTTATACAATGGAAAAAAAATTAATATTGTAACCCTTCATTGTCGAGTATGTGGTTTCTTCTATTGATCTGTTATTCATAAATTATAATTTTTGATGGCATTTATAATATCATGAAACTTCATGGTCAATTATCTCATTAGTTCATATTTACGGTTGTGTCACTATAGAACTTAGTGAGTGATATGTTGTTTACTAGGTCACAAAATATGCATGTATTTCTATTTTTGAAATAATCTAACAATCTCTTAATATTTGCATCTATTTAATATAGAAATGTTTATTTCCTAATAGTTATTGGTTTTATTATGGAATATGATAAAAATTATTTGGATTAAGTATTTTAGCAATATTAAACAAATATTTTTTACAGTATATAAATACAGTTTATTTGTTTCTTTCTTAGATATTTTTCTGTTTAGATAAGTTTTGGTGTCAAAATTATTATAAATGTAAATCAGAAAATTTAATTATTTTTAAGTTTATCTGGTGCTCTTCCAATTAATAACATATTAAATAATAGCTTTCCAACAATCATTCTACATCTTAAAACACACACACTAATAAAAAATAAAACAACTTTTATTTAAACACTATCACTTAATACATATTAAATCAAATTTTCCTCTGTTGATGGTTTTGCAAACTTTTTCTTTTTCTTCTTGTCTTTATTAAATTTCTTTCCTATCGTTTTAACTAGGGTTGAATATCCCTTTGCCATATCAGCATCTGAAACATCTTTTTCCTTTTTCTGTTCTTGTTCTTCAAGTAGCTTTGTGTAGTTACTGGCCATTAACTTCTCAATATCAGGATTCTTTCCTCCAAATGATAGTCTACCGTCAATTAGGTTCTTACAATTTACTATACTAGTCGACACAAATACAAGGTTTCCCGACTTTCTCATTTCATCTGTTATTTCATTGGAATACATACTTCTACCTTCTTCATCATCAATTTCTTTCTCGACCTTTTCTTTGGTTTTCTTCATGAATTTCATTTCTAGGATCGCTCGAGATAGTCTAACATCATTTTCGCTGCTTTCCATTTTCCTGCTTTATTGAAAATTTTACAAAAAAACTTTTTCAAAACTCAATTTTTTTCGAATGTGTTTATCAAAACATAACCTAAATTTCTAACCACGTTTCTTCTTCTATTCTACACACAGACCACTAAATAACTCTGTAGGGAGGTAGGTGATCTGTGATTCTACATTCTTCTCAGGCATAAAGTTACAGTGTAGTGCCACAGAGTGGTAGTGCTATCTTCACATTTATTTCTTTTTAAAAAGTTTATTTTCAATTTTCATTGTCAAGGTTCAAAGGTTCAAAGATTGATTTTCAAGAAAAGTAATTATTTATAATGATCAAAACTATGAATAGATATTTAAAGTCCTTTTTGAAGCTCGAAAATAAGCTGATAAACCTTAGACATATTTCTTACATACAAGGACAAAGCCCTGAACCGAAAGTGAGAGAATATTTTTATTATATAGACCACCAAGGAATGGTAAGACACTTTTGAAAGAGACATTAAAGAGTTACGATAATTTCAGTTGTTTTTAGATGATGTCCGAATGAAGAACTTTACGTCATGCTTTAAGGAAAAGAAATTTTTACGATTCTTTTTTAATCAGCTCAGAATAAACACCACTGCTCGTTATCAGGAATTTCCCTACATTTCACTTTGTGGTAAAGAGAGAAACTTCGTTAGATGTGATGACTATCCAATTGTATATACACATATTGTCCATAAAACAGAACCAGATGAAATACATTTGGGATATAATCATGCAGGAGATTTGTTGACAACAAAATTCCTCCCAGATAAAGTTATCATGTTACCTGAAACAGGGAGAGTTTACCATCCTTGTAGTGATAAGACAGGTGGAGTGGGACTAGTTGCTTCAAAATTGGCTATAGAATTTAGTAAATCATTTACATTTGAAAATGGAGATTTGAATCCTCCTACTCATTTTACGTTTGAAAATATTACTTATGATTTAGATTCCTCCTGGTATCAAAAGGCAAATAAAGTTGATAGATAGTTGATAGTTTTGTAGTTTTATGCTTATGGTTAATAAAAATTATATTAATATTAGTAATTTATCTTTTAATTATTCAACACCGTAATTAGTCCCATATCAATGTTGGATATAGTATGAGTATGATTACTAAAGTGTAGAATTGAAGAATAGACTGGATTGTGGTCATGATTTGATAAACTTGATCGGTTATTAAAGTGTTATTTATAATTTTATAGATTTACAAAAAAATATGGTAAGTAACCATAGAAAAACTCTTTTGTACTCTCAAAGAGCAATTTACATCAATATTCTGAAATGGCTTTACAAAACATTTAAGGCACATATAGAAAATAATATATAATTGGTTAAAAAAAATCACTCTAAATAGAGGAAGATTTCTACACTGTGCATTCAGTGACTGTGCTGTACAAAAAACATGCCACTAACAAATATGTATTTCAAGAGTTTTCAATTAAATTCTTTTTTCTTTCCTGGTTTCTTTTTCTTTCTAGTTTTTCAGCTGTAATTTTAACTTTTTTTCTGATTATACTCCTGTCACATTTGACTTTTCACTATACTTGGTATTTTTTCTTTACTTTTTCTTAATTCTGGTTTTGACTCTGGCCAGAAGAGTGCTCGCTTGAATGGACTAGGATCGTTTGGATTAGTTTTTGTACTGGGTACATTTATATGATAATTATTTAATAAAGCTTTGTCTTCTGAGATCTCTAGATTTGCCTCCAAACGATTTGGGAAATCTCAGTATTTTTAATAGGCGTTACATGTGGCAAATCCAGATTCTCTTTTGGTGGACTGATGATCCTTATATTTGGGTTTTCTGACTAGGAATTCTAGATAGAACTTGATACCCAGGTGTTATAATTATTGTGGCAAATCCAGATTTAATTTTAATAGATCCTTGATCTCTATATCTGGGGCTTCCGACAATTTTAGATTGATATTTGAGGCGTTACATCTGTTACACTTAGAATATTAATTTTCTTAAAAGGAGACATTGTTAAGTTTGAAACAAGACTTGAATCATTATCAAAGAATTCAATAGCATCCGTTGAAGTCTCTACAAAATCGACAAGAGCAACATTAAGATCTATATCTTCAAAAACAATTTCAGCCTCTGCAATAAGGTTTTCAAGATTTTGTGCAGTTAAGTTAATTTCGATCTGTTTAATTTTTTTTGCAAACAAAAAAATAATGACGTATCCTTTATTTTTCTAAATTTATCTGTTTATAGAAGATTCGATAAAAACAAGACTTTTTATTTATTCGGAGTTTTCAGATTTTGTTGACTTTCCTGTTCAGGTAAACAAGTGTGATCTTCATTGTTGGGGAAAAAATCATTAACAACTCTGGAATTCCACGGAAAAATACCGCATTTTTTAAACCCATTTTCTAGAATTTTCGGAGTTTTGCGATTTTTTATTGCCGCATCTAATAGTGGAGCGAAATTCCGTCTTTTTAATAACTCGTGTTGATTTTTTAACCTCCAAGAACGAACTTGGGAACGCTCGTCAGAATTTGCACGGCTAATAGATGCTATTTTGGGCTTAATCTCCTTTTTAAATCTACAGTTATATCAAGAAACACAAAAGTAAAACTCTACAAAACAATAATTCGCCCAGTCCTAACATATGGTTCAGAAACCTGGACTTAAAAAAAAGCAATGAAAACATGTTAGGATGTTTCGCAAGAAAAATACTAAGGCGAATCTATGGAGCGGTAAATTAAAATGGTGTCTGGAGAAGACGATACAACTTTGAACTCTATAGAATATACCAGGAACCAGATATCGTAAAACACATTAAGATAGGACGTCTGAGGTGGGTAGGCCATGTAATGCGGATGGAGCATACCGACCATCGAGCAAAAAGATAAAAGAGGGAATCTAATCGTTATGAAAAGGAGACCAAAAAAGTGGCCTCTGATGGCGGACATATCCGGAAATGCAAAGGCGCTAAATTTAAATTTTCCAACACTTGTTAACAATAACTGTAAAATATTTTTCAGACAAGAAAGTTTTAATTAAATATTAACAATAATAATCTAAAAAGTGACACAATTGGTAAAAAACTTCAATATAAATACAATTTCATGTGACAGTTGGGACAAACAATATACATAATCAAACTAAATTTGACTTCTTAAACAAGGAAAGAGATTGTCCTTCCTTGTTTAAAGTGGCCTCTCAAGATAGCACTTCCTGTTTAACAATATTTTTGTCCCCACTACCTTTACATTCCCTCTTTTATCTTTTTGCTCGATGATACCGACCCAGCTAGAAAAACACTCCTTGATAGACCTATTGGTCAAAGAAGAAGAGGAAGATCCAGAGCAAGATTCCTAGATAACATAGACCAAGATAGTATAAATATGGAAATACGTGCTTGGCGGAGGAAGGTGATGGATACCCAAACAGCACAAGTACGTCCCATGGACGTCCAAAGGATGTACCTCATTAAATGTCCGGACATCCCACGGACATCCGTTTACATAATTTGGACGTCCCCGGGACGTCCAATAAGAACTAAATGTTACCAAAAAGTACGTCCCCTGGACGTCCCAGGGATGTTCATGGGGACGTACATAGTACATATACAGAACTTAATACGGACTTATATAGGACCTAAGAAGGATGTATTGGGGACATCTATTGTACGTCCACATGGACTAATATAGGACCTAAATGAGGATGTATACAGGACCTAAAGGGAACTTAAAATTAATAAAATGAAAAGCAAAAATAAATGGGATTTTTATTGTGTACTTATATTAACATTTGTATTTAAATTTATAGTATTTTTTAAGCACATTACTTCTACTTACTTTACAAATGTAGCAACACACCATAACCACAAAAATTACCTATAAAAGTCCTATATACCTACTTAATGTCTATAATAATAAATTACCAAACTATAAACTAGTATCGAAAGCAATAAACTAATTCTAATTACAACCACAACCACAATGATTATAATTCGAGAAATAAACGAGATAAATAGAAGCGTCGTTAAAACATAACCACATTCTTCTTTTATCTCCTAATTTTTAAATTTCAGTTCCACTACAGAACAAAATTTTAGAGATACAGCTCTGCTATAGGATAAAGATTTTTCTCTAAAAGGAGCCTCTGTCTGTTTTCGTATAAATTAATGGTATTTAAAACTAAATATAACTTTTTAAAATAAAGTTTAGTAGGAAGATTATATTTTGTTAAAAATATGCATAAGTAAAAAAATGACACAGTTAACACCTAGAAAACGTCCCTAATACATCCCTAATGGGACGTCCCTTGGACGACCTTATGGGACGTCTCTGGTATATCCGACTAGAAATATCCCTTGGACGTCCCTCGGACGTCAAAAGAAATCCCGGGACGTTTGGACCTTAAAACGGCATAAAATGGACGTCCCAGGGATGTCCTGTGCTGTCTGGGTAGAGACGACTGGAAGAGAATTCTTGGGAGGCTAGGACCCACACAGCCTTGTAAAGCCAAAATAATGATGATGATGATGATGAACGTAATTGCTCCTTCCGAACAAATTTTAACGTGCGAAACACGGCTACGTCCATAGATTGTATTAAATGAGTAGCGTTCAGATACAAATAAATCAGAATTATATTTTTTCTGAACAGAATTTACTGAGATGAAAGGATAAATGGAAAGCATGCTCATTGGCAAAAATTATAAGAAAAATAAAACATGTTGTATTGACCACGGATAAAACACATTGGCCATGTAAAAATAAAAAGTATCTGATTTCATCCATCCGTTTTCGGACACACCAATTTCCCAATGCTTCGGAATGCTTTCAGAAAGATCTAAACTTGGTGGGGCTAAACTTGCTGCGGCATTTCCATTGAGTAGCACAGTGAGGCACTTCTTTTAATTGCTATTTACTGTTGAGTAAACAGTCTTACTACTCTTCAGAGCCAACACTTCCAGACAGCACAAGTACGTCCCATGGACGTCCGAAGGATGTACCTCATTAAATGTCCGGACATCCGTTTACATAATTTAGACGTCCCCGGGACGTCCAATAAGACACAAATGTTACCAAAAAGTACGTCCCCTGGATGTCCCAGGGATGTTCATGGGGACGTACATAGTAGGTACATATACAGAACTTAATACGGACTTATATAGGACCTAAGAAGGATGTATTGGGGACATCCATTGTACGTCCACATGGACTAATATAGGAACTAAATGGGGATGTATACAGGACCTAAAGGGAACTTAACAAAAATCTAATAAAATGAAAAACAAAAATAAATGGGATTTTTATTTATTTTTAAGTACATTACTCATACTTACTTTACAAATGTAACAACTCACACCACAACCACAAAAATGACCTATAAAAATCCTATATTATACCTACTTAATGTCTATAATAATAAATTACCAAACTATAAACTAGTATCGAAAGCAATAAACTAATTCTAATTACAACCACAACCACAATGATTATAATTCGAGAAATAAAAGATTTCGAAAATGCTAGCTAAAAATAAAAATGCGTTAAAAAGAAACATAAATACAAGGAGATTCTTCTTCTTCTTTTTTCGTTTTAATACAAGGAGATAAGTAGAAGCGTCGTTAAAACATAACCACATTCTTCTTTCATCTTCTAATTTTTAAATTTCGTTCCACTACAGAACAAAATGTTAAAGATACAGCTCTGCTATATACCCAGACAGCACAGGACATCCCTGGGACGTCCATTTTATGTCGTTTTAAGGTCCAAACGTCCCAGGACTTCTTTTGGACGTCCGAGGGACGTCCAAGGGATATTTCTAGTCGGACATACCAGAGACGTCCCATAAGGTCGTCCAAGGGACGTCCCATTAGGGATGTATTAGGGACGTTTTCTAGGTGTTAACTGTGTCATTTTTTTACTTAAGCATATTTTTTACAAAATATAATCTTCCTACTAAACTTTATTTTAAAAAGTTATATTTAGTTTTAAATACCATTAATTTATACGAAAACAGACAGAGGCTCCTTTTAGAGAAAAATTTTTTTTTGTTCTGTAGTGGAACTGAAATT